ATTTTAGCTCTGAAAGGCTGCATATTACACATTTGAAATAAACGAATTCCAACACTGTTTGCTGTAACAGATATAAGGTAAAGGTAAAGGGACCCCAGATCATTAGGTCCAGTCATGACCGACTCTGGGGTTGCGGTGCTCATCTCGCTTTATTGGCCGAGGGAGCCGGCATACAGCTTCCGGGTCATGTGGCCAGCATGACTAAGCCGCTTCTGGTGAACCAGAGTAGTGCACAGAAACGCCGTTTACTTTCCCGCCGTTTACCTTCCCGACCTATTTATCTGCTTGCACTTTGACGTGCTTTCGAACTGCTAGGTTGGCAGGAGCTGGGACAGAGCAACAGGAGCTCACCCTGTCACGGGGATTCAAACCACTGACCTTCTGATCGGCAACTCCTAGGTTTAACTCACAGCGCCACCCGTATAGAACAGATATAGGTAAAGGTAAAGGTAAAGGTACCCCTGCCCGTACGGGCCAGTCTTGACAGACTCTAGGGTTGTGCGCCCATCTCACTCAAGAGGCCGGGGGCCAGCGCTGTCCGCAGACACTTCCGGGTCACGTGGCCAGCGTGACATCGCTGCTCTGGCGAGCCAGAGCTGCACACGGAAACGCTGTTTACCTTCCCGCTAGTAAGCGGTCCCTATTTATCTACTTGCACCCGGGAGTGCTTTCAAACTGCTAGGTTGGCAGGCGCTGGGACCGAACAACGGGAGCGCACCCCGCCGTGGGGATTCGAACCGCCGACCTTTCGATCGGCAAGCCCTAGGCGCTGAGGCTTTTACCCACGCGCCAACCCGCGTCCCCCAGATATACATACCACTTAAAAAGAAAAAGCGAAGGACTGCTCTATTGAGTCGTCTTCAAATTCAAATCAATTAGCTAACCCCTTCTTTTCATTCTTAAGGTAGGCCACCCAAATAAAAGAGGTTGTAGTCAATTAATTCATCCACAGTGCAAAGCCCAGAGACTCACCTTTTGGCGACGAGCGATGAGGTCCATTATGACGTCTCTGACTCTGTGGTCCTCTTCGTTAGTTGTAGTATGCATTCTAGAAGTGGAAGCAAACAAACAGGCACAGTGAGCGGGTGCAGAAAGCCCAATTCAAGCCTCGGCATCTCTAGGTAGGCTGGGAGAGACACCTCCCGCCCGCCTCCCATCTGAATCCTGGAAGTGCTGTTGCCAGTCACTACCTGTGGACAACCTGAGCTAGATGGAACAATGGTCTGGGGGCTCAGTGTTAAGAGTTGCTTCTTGGGTTCCTGAGGCAAGGCCTGTTGCGCCTAGAAGCAGCGGCAAGCCTTCCTTGTCAGAAAAGGGAAACCCAACTGGAAAAGACTCACACAACAGGAAACACTGCAAGCACAAACTCCCATGATGTTATATAAATTGGGGGGGAGGGGCAATAAAAACATACATTGCAAAACCAGCACAGACGGAGTGCTTTTTGAGGGCTCCTGTGCACATTTTTTTGTTTGTTTAAAAAATAGTTTTATTAAAATGTAACGTGCGTTGTCTCTATTTTCAGGTCATAAGAGTTTCTACAGATCAGTTACATTCAATGTGAGACATTAATGCTGTATACAGTACAAAGTTGGGGGAGAAGAGGAGGGGAGAGGGGGGAGGGAAGTTGACTAAACTTTTGGTTGGGTCAGAGGGTCACCCTTGGCCGAACTTCCACATGCTGCACGAAAGCAGTCGTGGTGTCCAAAACAAAAAACAAAAACCAAGGTGTGTGTGTCTGACACACACACACACACACACACACACACAGAGAGAGAGAGAGAGAGAGAGAGAGAGAGAGAGAGAGAGACTGTCCTCTTTCTCAGCTAATTTGCATTTATTTTTCTTTTTAAACATTGTTCAAGTGCTATGCTAAGTGGTGGCATTTTGCCCAGGGGGTGGGGAAACAAAACAAAAAAGGGAGGCTGCAACAGGGACCTATGGTTTGTCATCCATCCTTTTTTTTTAAAGGAACACTTCCTCTTTGCAAGCTCACAACGCAGCTCTGTTTTAAATTTATCCCTTGTGATCTGGGATGCAAAGTTCATAAAGAACATCCCCTTGAGAAACGGAAAATGCCAGGTAAGTACAGAAAGGGGTAGGGAGATGTGACCGATTCACTCCCATATTATGATTTGCTTAATTCTATTTAGCATGAGGCGGTTGCAGCTCAGTGGCAGAACACATGCTTGGCATGCAGAAGGTCCCAGGTTCCACCCTGGGCTCTCCCAGAAGGGCTAGGAGAGGACCCTCTCTGAATTTATATCTGCCAATCATCAGGTGGATCGATGGGCTGACTCAGTTTCCTATCTTCCTCATCTGTTATGATTCAGGACCTGGGGTAAGGAAGAGGACTAAGTCTGCCTTGGGAAGTCACACCCTTGGACCAGGAAAATGAACTCCACACAGACCCCAATTCCAGGTCTTACCAAATCTCGCAGAGCTTGCACATCCGTCAGCACAGAGCCCGTCATGGCAGCAGGCCTGAATTCTTGTCCTTCGTAGCTGAAGAGAATCTGGGCTTCCTCCGACGCAAAATGCACCATGGAACCCAACAGCATGGCCACGTCCAGCTTCTGGAGGAGAGACAGTAAGTCTTTCCTTTAAAAATATATATGCAAAGCTCTAGTCCCTTTGAAGGCCTCCCTTATGGCTGGAGAAGCAGTCGCCTCGACATGCCCAATATTCGTTTGACTCTAATGTGGAAAAAGCCAAGCCGCCTCCAGGTGATCTGTTCACTGAGCACCCACACTTTACTTGCTTCTGGGGAGTTTAGACAACGTCATGTCAAGCAACTAAGGAGAGCTTATTCCACACTTCCCTTGTCACAGAAGGATTTTGGGGTGGGGGGAGGGGAGTGAAGCAGGTCTGCAACACTCCAAACCTACTTTAATTGCTGGTATTGGCACGTGACTGAATCCCACCTAAAAGCAGCTGCAGTCTGGAAGCAACCCTCAATTATCCTAGATATAATTATGTCTGCCAGAGGCAAGCTCAAATCGCCAGTGGATTTGCCAGGAAGAAATTTCAGGAGGCCGTTTTACATGTTATAATCTTGCAGCTTCCAGTCACAGGTTTTAAAATTAAGGGACTGGAAGGAACCATCTTGCTGCAGAAACTGGCCTCTGAGCTGGTGTTGTGTGAAAAATAAGAAGTTTTTTGGGCCTACCGAGCTGAAAATTCTCTTTTACTGACCAGAGGATTTTATTACTCATCAACCAACATAACCTTTTCCTGTACAGCGGGCGTTTCATTTTCTAATTCTTATTTCTTGTATTGATTAACAACAACAAAAAAGTAACAACTGAGGTTTACAGCTGTTTTAAAAATTAGGTTACAAGCCACCATCTGCATTTATTTTTAAGTCAAACAGAGGGGCATAGCTGTCAACTTTTCCCTTTTCTTGCGAGGAATCCTATTCGTAATAAGGGAATTTCCCTTAAAAAAGGGGGGAAACTGACAGCTATGCAGAGGGGGTACAAATACTAAAACAAATAATAAATATTTGAAGATTAAATGAATCGAACATACAGTTCCTGCAAACAACTGGTACATTTTGCTGGAAATCTAGTAGTACGGGGGTTGGGGTTGGCAGGGCAGGGCTGTTGTCATGTTAATAGGGAAAGAAGCTGAAGTACGAGAAGCCCCATCAGTATTGGCATCCCGCAGGCTCCTGAAGACACACCTGTTCAGCCAAGCAGTTGCCCGAACTTGGGATTTCTTATTGTTTTACCTGATTTGTCATGCTTTTAAACTAGTTCATTTACACATTTTAAACTAAAGATGTTTTAATGCTCTGATGAATTGGTATTATGTATTTCAATCAGGTATGGGTTTTAGGATTGATTTTACATTTGTAAACCGCTTTAGAAGCCATTCGGTATAAAAGCGGCATACAAATGAATTAATAATAATCAGTGGATCCGAAGCCAATGACAAGCAGAGTCAACTAGTTAAAGGTTTTCCCTCCCTCCTGAGTTCTACGAGGGCAATACAGAGAACTCAGAAGGAAGATGGCAGCCAGGGACACCCTCTGGGCTGGTTTTAAGAAAGGAAATAGGCAGGTGGGGGCCAAACGAGGTTGGCAAGGAAGTTTCCCAGTCGCCCTAATGCAGCTCCTATTATGGAACAAGTCAACAGGAAAGGGAAAACAGAAAGGTTGCTTTTAAGATAAACAAACCGTAAGGGGGAGAGAGGCCCGTCCAGTGTCATCCTGCCCGTTGGTGCTGGGGCAGCAGAGACCCTGGGCCTTCACGTAGGGCTGAAACATGTCTGAGTTTGTTATCAGGATGAGGGTGCGGCCAGGGATGGGGGGCAGATTGTGCCGAACGGCAATGTGGATTGCTTTCTCCAGAGCCTCCTGGTAGCGCTGCAGGAGGGCGTGGCTGCAGCGAATCTCTCTGTAAAGGAAGACGAACAAATGAACACACACATGCCAGTCAACACCTGTGCCACCGCTGCAATGATGGAAGCTTCCCCTGTAGTGTTTTGCAGCAAAGTGAGATGTAGTGTTTTTTCTATTTAAACAAATAAGTGAAATATATAAACAACCTTGAATGTATCTATTAACAAAAAAAAGACAATAGCTATGCCACAGTGCTCTTCACTCCAAGTACCCCCCATATTAGACCTCACATCCACATCTATTCCAGCATCCTGTTCTTACCGTGGCTGATCAGATGCCCACTGGATGGTTAAGTCCAGTCAAAGGCAACTATGGGGTTGCGGTGCTCATCTCGCTTTCAGGCCGAGGGAGCCGGCATTTGTCCACAGACAGCTTTCCAGGTCATGTGGCCAGCATGACTAAACCATTTCTGGCACAACGGAACACCATGACGGAAACCAGAGGGCACAGAAATGCCATTTACCTTCCTGCCGCAGTGGTACCTATTTATCTACTTGCACTGGTGTGCTTTCGAAATGCTAGGCTGGCAGGAGCTGGGACAGAGCAACAGGAGCTCACCCCGTCATGGGCATTTGAACCACTGATCTTCCGATCAGCAAGCCCAAGAAGCTCAGTGGTTTAGACCCATGCACAAAACCACTCTCCCCTCCTGTAATTCCCAGCAACTGATATCCAGAGGTATACTTCCTCCAACAGTGAAGGGAGTAACATAGCATTATCCCCCTTCAGGATTTGTCTAATCCTGTTGATAGCGAAAAATGAAATTCCCATATTCCATTGCAATGCATCTCTGGGTCAAAGATGCTGGAGACAGAAGGCCCCACCTCCAAGCGTCTCGGAAGCATTTGATTGGCTGCTGTTGGCCAAACAGGATGCTGGGCGAGAGTGACTTTTTGCCTCCTTGTGGAAGCATGTACTTCCCCCCTCTTGCTTCCTTGAACTTCTGATGTGAACAGTCCGCCTCTCACTTCTCACCACACAGCCAGCCCCATCGCTACCTGGCCTTCAGGAGTTTCCTCTTCTCACGCTTCACCATACTGAAGATAACGGGGATCTCCAGACACCCACGCAGGCTTCGCCGTGTCCAAGATAGCGATGACCTCCCATAGGAGATGTTCAGCCCATGTCGCTGTATGATCTTTAGGATGATGTCTTTGTTGCTCGGGAAGGGGGTCTCTGTAGGGAAGGGGGAAAGAGAGGGGGCTGGTAAGGTGTTTATCCCAGCCAGCAACTTCCAGCCCAACCGCTCCCTTCGAAGGCTGCTGCAAATTTGTACAACCTACAGAAAACCTAGCTGCCCTTGCTGTCATACTAACTCACCCACCCCACACAGGTGTCTAGAAAGTCACTCAGCCAAACTCCTTCATCAATCCCTTCTGCTGTTCTCACCTTCATAGAAGTCCCCCTCACCATCAACCTTCCCTCTCTGCTATTTTCCCTGTGCCGCAGACAGATCACCAACACCTGAGGCCAGCAGTGATAGAATGCATTTCGTATCTAGGGTGTTGGTGTTTAGTCGTTTAGTCGTGTCTGACTCTTCGTGACCCCATGGACCAGAGCACGCCAGGCACTCCTGTCTTCCACTGCCTCCCACAGTTTGGTCAGACTCATGTT